GGCATGTTGGTAATTAAGCCAACTATTGCAATTTAACTCATTTTAATCCAATTTAATCATACCAAATCACATTTTAGATAAATACACCATAAAATCATATAAATTCCAATGAACACAAATCATCAATCAGTTTCAAATTCGGCCGCCGATAAGGCCTTCAATTCGCAATTTAAACACAAAGGCATGAACAGATAATCAAACAGTCAACAGATAGACATACAATTAAACAGATATACTTAATCAATTCAGTTCCAGATTTCAGTCAGTCAGTTCAGTACTTCAATCAATTCAGTTACCAATCATAATCAGTCTTAGTTTAGTAGTAATCAGTGGTTAATCGGTAAACAATGTTGTTACAGTTTTCTCTATAGAATAAGAGAAATATTTTCTCCTTACAATGAGAGAGAGACTTTCTGCATTAAATGAGGGACTATTGTTATTTTTTTATTGTGTATTAATTTCAAAATAGAAACATATGCAAAAAAATAAAAGGGTGATTTAGTCACATTATATTAAATAAGACCTAATGAAATACTTAAAAAAAAAGAAAAGAAAAGATAGATTAGATATGGAATATAATACTTAGAAAAAAATAATCAAAAAATAATCCTAATTTTTTATTATTATTATTATTTTTAATTCGTAAAAGATCAACCGATTGATTTTTATAGCATGCTCATGCATGATTAAAACAACAAAATCAAATATAGTAATTCGCCTAATAGAAATTGATGAATCCAGATGTTTGCTGAGATCAAACTCAGCTCGTTTACTTATCGAGCTCGTTTATTGAGCTCAAGTTCGGCTCAATAACTAATTGTGTTCGAATTTAGTTCGACCCGATAAGATTTGTTATATTTATATTATTTAAATAAAGTTATATTTACAAAAATTATTATGTGTATTATTTAATTCATAAATTATGTATTTTGTTATTATTTATATATATTTATATATTATTTAATATTTATATATATATAATATATTTATTAAATAATTTAAATAAAGATAAACAAATCGAGCTTCACAAGCCGAACTTGCAAGCTGAGCTTGAGTTCGGCTCATTTACTAAACGAGCCGAACCCTTAATGAGCCGAGCGAACTCGCAAATATATCTTACGTGATATACCTTTATAATTCTATTGGTTATATACCTATTACTTTTTATTTTTTTTTCTTTATGTATTTTATGAAATAATTAATACAATTAAAACGGTACATAACCTAATTAAAATTCTTGAAAGACATGAATAATGCCCCCATGCTACGAATGCCAGCACATATGAAGGATCTTCGTCCTCCTACAAAACTTTCGTAGTCTTTTTTTACACACACACACGCATAAAAAACTTACTTGCTTTTCTTTTTGAGAATGCAAAAATGGCATCATATCTTCGAAAAGTATGAGAAAATGAAACAGAAAAAATACAAATCAGTGTAATTTTAAAAAATTAATATTAATAATTAAAATTATGTATATTTTTATCTTTATAAAAAAAATTATGAAATACCCACTCAATTGTAAATTCCCAAACAAAAATACTAAATAAGAGAAATAATATATAATAATCAATTCCTACATTTATTTAATCCTTTGATTTTACTTTTTGAAAAAAAGGTTGCTGTCTGTCCAAGCCTAACTTTTTCTCACGCGAATTTGTCGTGAATTGACAGAAGTGTCGTATATATTAGTATTCTTTGATGGACCAGAAAAGGATGTTTTCTGTCAATAAACATCATTATTAATAAAGATACATCATATGATATATATGCATTACAAGAGGACTTCTAGATTCCATATGAATCCTAAACTCCAGAAATTATCCCACGCGGTGAAGTAACCTCCAAATAACGGGGACTTGCAGGTAGAATGGAGAAGTAGATCCATATACACACAGAAAATAAAATAAAATAAAAATTCTGTTAATTGGTGAAAAGTCTATTCTTATATGAGCATATGTTATTTGGTTTAAAGTTTAAAAGTAACCAGAAAAATTATTGACACCGGAAAAAGTTGCTGGGTGAGGTGAACATATAGGTAATATTAAATAAATAAGTAAATAGATAGATGTCACTATAAGTAAATGACATTTGAACAAGGAAAATGTTTAAGATTCACAAAAAATCTCTTACAATTTGATCCACAATGATGTGACATGATACACGTCAATTTTGATTTGTCACATACTCGATTATATGGGACCTATCTCTCTTGCCACATCACTGTGAATAAATTTAGGGGTCCAATTTGTGGGTCTATATAGACATCCCATTTTGACTGACCCTAAGATTTCCTGTATTTGCAAGCCTCCCGATGATGAAATGACTTACTTCATCTTCAGAATATTTAAAGAATGTTTTGGAGTTATTGTGTAAACCTGTTTTGGCCAAAAATCAATTTTTGCAAAAATGACCGTTTACCCTTGAACCCATTTTTGGCCGAAAACCAACTTTTTATTTCTAAGAAAGAGAGGGAAGTCCAATTATGCTTCAATCAATCATATTTTTCAAAATTAGTGGCCAATTTTATCAAAAATATTGATCATAATGCAATTTGGGCTTACTTGTGCTGCAAGCAAGCCAAAGGCATGGGACTCCACACTTGTACATGCATGCATGGCACGTGTACCAAGGAAATTGGTGTATGCGCAAGTTAGCTATATGTGCGCACAAGATTGGTGTGTGTGTACGTTGACTGTGCATGAGCGTGAGACTAGTGCATGTGCACATCGAAGCATCATAGAGTTATGTATGGAAATTTAATCTTAGCGCATTTTTTGAGGAAATGGCGGAGGGGAAAGCAATAAAACTCTAGGAGGGTTCCAGAGCCTCCCCCAAGCTCTATAAATAGAGCCCCTCCACCTCTCTTTGGAGAAAATTAAGTACTTGAGACATTTTTTAGAGGTTTTAGGGCCAAACACCACACATCTTCTCTCCCCTTCCTCTTAACTCTGAAAATACCCTATCACATAGCAACTCTTAAGTCTTTGAAACCATCTTAAGGCTTGAAGAACCCGAACTAAGTCATAATCAAAGCTTGAGGGAGGCTTCCAAGTAAAAAAACAAAGTTTACTCGCTCTTTCTTGTGCTTTCATTAAAACAACAGATAACCACTCATCTTTTTGTTATTTCAGTACTTCTTTTTTCTATATTTTCAATAGTTAGTCATATTTAGGGTGTTACTTTATCATTCTATCATGTAGTTTGCATATTTCATCAAGTTTTTTTTTTTTTTTTAATATTTTTGCATGTTTTCTTCCTTTTAATCAAAACATGTTTTAGTCATATAATAATCATGCATGGCCCGATTTGATCATCATGCAGTTTTTTAGTATTTTTGCCTTTTTATGTGTTAGTTGTATTTTATGCATATTCATCATACTAGTGGTCTCAAACCGGCCTAGGATCATTCTTGTGTGTATTAGTTGCATATTAGGGTCAGATTTAATTTATGTATAGCATGTAAGACTTTGAAAGTGGGCAACCAGGTAAGTCCTCTTAATCTCCATAACATGTGCATGTCCTTGTTGCATTGCCCTTTAAATAATCAAAGTCTATATGTTCTTCATGTGCAAAATTGTATGTTTTGGATGTTTTATAAATATTGGTAATTTTAAATTGGGTTTATAGCCATGGATTGATAAAATCCATTTTTTATTGGAAAAATCATTATTCTCTTCAAAATATGGGTTTATTCCTCCAAATCTAAATGAATTGTATTCATTTTTCTTTAAATCACATAGTTTAGATTAGTTAAGGGTTTTAGGTCTAAAAATGAATTTGTATGAATAACTAACCACTAAAATTATAAAATAGAAAGCAAGTAGAGGCCAATTTTTGGATTGAACAAAAAAGAATGTTTCCATGTAAATGGCATTCCTTTTTGTATCTAAGCTTTCGAACCTGAAATTCTCTCGTTTATGACAGACTAGGCCTTAGTTTAGTTTTCATCGTTAAATGTTTCTTAATTTCCCTTTAAAAATTAAGTGGCGACTCTTTGTTGGTCAAAGCAAGTCGATATTGGAAGCAATGCCTTATACTCGAAAAAAGTACGGCATCCACAGTCTCTATCACTATTCTTTGAACAAATAGTTAGACATGTAATAACACGTGTAAAAATATGTCTCATTTTGAACAGATAGATGACACAAGTATTTTTCGGCCTAAAAAGATTTAAGTTTGGGCCTATTGACCTAAAAGTTTCAAAAATAGACCTCTGACCTGAGTGTTCTAAAAAGAAAGGCTACGTCTTTGATTAGATAGATTACAAATTCTCTCTATTGGTCTCAAAATATCGGTATCTCAATAGAATTACAAAGAAGTATTTATAGATATAACCTTCAAATAAACCTAGGACGCACCAAGTATTTATAGTTTAATTATTAAAACCAGATAAAATAATGATTTTCAACATGCACCAAATTAGTCAGAACACTTCAAAATGAAGTTCCTCAAACTCTAATTATTAAAACTGGGTAATTTTTTGCGCACAACAAGTCATTCAGAACGCTCCAAAGCAACTTTCCTCACTTGCCTTGCTCGAATGCACAGCTGAACCGGCCTCTTTGCCAAAACCGTACACACAAAGCACTCTATCAGCGTACACGTAACAGCAATCAAATGCTGTGTCATAACAGCAATAGAATGAACCTTCCGTAGGTAAGAAGAGGAGAAAGAGAATATATTCCGGGTTGGTAGGGTCCTCCAGTTACTTGGATTGGATCAACAGAAATGCCAATTAGGTTGCTAGTTGACACCAAATTGTTGATAGACAAAAGGCCAAGATAAATGCAGTAGATTCATTCTGGATAATTATGGACCACCTACCTTTTTAAACTTCCATATTTATCAACTCAGTCAATGGTATGGATCTATTCTTAAATTCCCGTGTCCTCAGGTCTCAATGCACACCTAATCATTAATTACATTATGCTTCAAGATTCTCACACGATTCAATAGTTAAGAATACATTAGGACATGAAGCAAGGGGATTTGGGGACTTCTTGGAACTCAGTTACATCTCCGGAGGGCTAAAACCTCCAAATAGATCAATAATGCTACAAAACTAACTTATGTTATTTCATAACTGGGGGAAAAAAAGAAGAGAAAATCCATTTATACAAAGATTTCTACATAGCAACACTGCACAAAGTGAATACATCAAATTTTGGATCAAAATATGGTTTTGCTTTACAAAAGAAAATGTCAATGTAATTTGAATACTGACGTCACTCGATGAGCAAGTAGGATGACACAACCAAGCACCTGTTTTGCGTTTCCATCCTCCTCCTTTCCCCACAACCATGAAGAGTTTTCTTCCCGGGGTATGATGATGATTGCTTATCATGTTGTGATTGCCTTTCTATCCAAGAAAGGAAATCATTTAGCCTACGACATTAGATTGGATAATAGTGATAGGAAAACAAGTGAAAAGTAGGATGTTTGGATAGAGTAAATTACCAATTATACGTCTAAAACCTGTTCACTGGATGTGGTTTCAGAACTAAGAAGTCTTTCAACCTCATCATTTGCCTCAGCTTGGATTCTCCATCCCTGCATGCAATGACAAATGATTAAGAACCCAAACTTCATTATCTTGCATTCTATTCTACTTAGAGAGATCCACTCTAACTACATTTTATTTTATTTTATTTTTAAACTTCTCAATTTCCTATTCCTTATGTATGTTAGATGTAAGAGAAAATGCTTCCAAAACATGCCTCTTCAAGATTTTCAATCTCCATGATTTGCTGTATCTGTTCAGCGATACTTTCCTGCATAAAGGAATAACAGAGTCAACAACTACTATCCATTTACAGTTGAACTGATAAGCGAAGTGTGTGTGTGTGTGTGTAATATACTGAAGTTGTGCATACTGCATTGCTAGCCGCTTCAGCAGCAAGAACATCAGAATCCATCTCTACTTCAATTTCAATCATTGAAGAAATCTGAAAAAATAATAGTATCATCATGCATTAACCAAGCTGACAAGAGTTGTTGCATTAAACTTCTGTTTCGTTTCATGATGCAGGAAACATACTCTAGCATAGCTGTCAATCAGTTCAATTCGTTTCCTGAGGGAATTTTTCAAGCCTTCACGCACCCTTTTGACTCTACTTCTCCGAGCACTGAAAACAAAAAGGCTAGTGAACTTTGAACAAGAGACATCCAAAGCTAATCCTTTTTTTTGCAAGATGATAATAAGTTCAGTGATTATAACAAGAAAAGAGTACTAAAAATGTTTATAGTGTTTCTAACCGATAAGAAGGTTCTCCCACAGCAAAAATTTTGATCTCCAATTGGCACATGCGAGCTAGCATCCAAACCTATAAAAAAAATCAAATCAACTAATCTATATGACAAAAGGGAATAACAGGTACGAAATAATGAGGGCATAAAATCATTATAACATTATTCTTTGGATATAGAAGGGCATTAAAAATACCTTTGAATTAATCCCAGTTAAAAAATAACAATAGGGTCTGGGCTCGACCTCCCAATGTATCACATCTTATCACATTCCAATATTATAAAGAATTGCCCACATGAAAGTCCTTAGTTCAGATTCCTAGAAATTGTCTCATAAACTTCCAATGCCACCGTAACAAAAAAGATGCCTCACTTGGAAAATTCACTGATGAGGCACTATAATCTGTAAAGTTAGTAGTCCTTATGTATGAGAAAATTGAGTAAATTTGACACTAGGGTGAATTTTTGTGGACACAGGAAGCATCAACGTGTTCTTTCATAACTAAATGTGATGTTCACTTCTTTTCTTGTTCTCCTCCTACAAATATGAACTAATTTACATGAACTCAGTGGTCATTGGTCACAACTTTCTTCAAAGTCAGGATCAATTTATTTGGTTTAGCAGAAATAGAAGATTAATTTGGCTACATCTAAACAGGAGCTTTTTATCTGTACAAGTCAGACGCAAACTAAAGAACATATTATGCCACACAGCTGGACAGGGCATGTAAACAAACAAGGAAGCAGGAATTGCTTGTTTTTAGGGGCAACACCAGATATCAAGAGCCAAACTTTATACTAGAGAAAGTAGTTGACATCAAGTCACAATTACTGTGGCAGGGTACCTCATTTTCTGCAGCTTTTTTCAAGTCCTTGATGCGAGATTGAAGTTGGTCATATTGCGATAGAAGTTGCTGCCTGATGGCAATTGTGTCCACCAACCTCTGAGGAAGCTGTGGGCAAGATAAGAGCTAAGATAAATAACTAGATGCATTTATGTAATTTTTCTGAGGGAACTCCATAAAAAAAATGTACATAGTAAAATCATATTGTAAGAAAATTCAAAACCACCTAATTTCATAAGTAGTCTATAACTCATTCAATTAGAGTGTCAGTATCTTGAGAGATGTAAACGGTCTAAGAAAGCAGGCGAACTGCTAAAATAATTGCAAACTATTGTATTTTTGGCTGATCTTAGGTACATTGCTTTAAAAGAAACTGAAACAAAATGTACCCCCAATGGGGATGGGGGTTTGGGAGGAATAGATAGGGTCCAGACCTAACATTTGGCATAATTTACACAAATGGTTGCCCCAACCAATGTTGTTAGAATCAACTTATCATGTCCAAAAACGTGGCTTTTTACCATGTTCCCAAAATGGCACTTAGTCCCCATTGGATGGGGGTTTGGGAGGAATAGATAGGGTCCAGACCTAACATTTGGCATAATTTACACAAATGGTTGCCCCAACCAATGTTGTTAGAATCAACTTATCATAGTGGACCGATTCTTAGACTCTTGGTTGAGATTGGGTCTGTTCTTCAACCAATTTGAAATAATTTTTCTTTTTTTTTAAAAAAAAAGGAAAAGAAGAAGGAATTAATTAATGCTCCCTCCATTCCAAAATATTAGTCCTTTATTCCATTTTTCATTGCCTCAAAATATTAGTCCCTTTTCAAAAATCAAGTACAAAAATAATATAAATTTCTCATTTTGCCCTTCTTTTAAATTCATTAACATAAAAAATACAATTATGACATTGATATTCCCCAAAAAATGTACTATTAAAGGGTAATTTTGGAAAATCAATTATTTTAAAGTGCAATAATTGTACTACCAAAAAAAGTTAGATTCCCCAAAAGGAACCATTATTTTGGGACAGAGGGAGTAACATTTTCATTGTTGTTCACCCCCACCCCCTTCTCAAAAACAGTGTCATTGGAACTAAATCATCATAGTTGGGTCGATTGTCTTTCACAGCGGAGTGCAGAAATGGATCTGAAATTCTCAGCTGCCAGGTCGTGATGAATACATCTAGACATTTGCCAATGGACAAAACTAAAATCTCAATGCCATAAATAGTTCATGAGAGCCTAAAAATAGTCTTAAAAAGATACTATGTCAGTAAAAGCTGGGGGAGGAAAACAAATGCCACATAAAGTCTTAATAGAACATTAGAGACTAACTTACCCGACCCAACTGGGGGAAAACCAAAGTGTTCAAAGTGGCTCCAAGAGCAAAAGATGAAACTGCAGCAATGGAAATGAACTGAGGCAAGCTAGGATCAATTATTCCAGAGGCTGCATCTCCAGTGGCCAGCACAGCAGCAAGTGGAAAGAGGATGGAGGGGTTAAGTAAGGATGAGCCTTCATTTTTTATGGGTGCTCTTAGTAACAGTGATTCTCGGCCATCTGTATGGTTTGTCAGGCACATAGGCTCTCCTGGATAGAAGTTGGGGGATTTTGGAATAAACTTTAAGGGACCCACCTCTCTATAAACATTTGATGGAGCTGCTAGAGCAATTGTTACTCTTTCTCCTTCCTGTGCAGGAAGATCAACTGTTTCAGTAGCAAATCTGTGAGTGCGTGCCATCCCTGATGGAGTCTCCACCTGCAGAGAGGAAATGTAGAGAATTAAGTAAAAAAGAAAGAAAGAGTATACTCGTTCACGTGTAGTATAAAAGGACACAGGCTGTATACATTTGAGCTACGGAACATTGCCTAAGGTATCTTTTATGGGCCCCACCTTTAAGGAAGCCTATCTCTTTGCTTATATGAGGAACTACAGCAGTAAAATTTGTCATAAGAGAGAGGCTAACAAATATTTTGATACATGGACTCTTTTAATACCAAAGTGAACAACAAATTTGATTGCTAAATAATCAAAGATTATGAGATATCATTTGCAATAAACCCATTTTTTTAATGCATGAATCTTGTGATAGTTTGTGAAAGGTAGAGGAAGATCTAATAAATGCTTAAAATTGATGAAGTACATGCTTAAATATAAAAAAATTAGCAAAAATGTACCACAATAGAGTGAACTGCAGCAGGGAAGCTTTGCTTCTTTATTTGCAGGAATCTTAGCCCCCTTTTCCATGCAGGTACCTCCATGCTGCGTTCGGCAGTAGGGAATCCTTAGAAAAAGTGAATATCTCAGGATCAATGCTATATACAAACATACACTTGTGCAGAAACGATGAAGTAAAAAAAGGGGAAGTGCAAAAAATTGAATGTTCTCCATTGTAATTGTTTTACAGAATACTAGAAGTTTGAATACTGATCATATATTAATGGAATGCCAATGTGTGACCTTTAACAAAAATAAGAGAAGGCTCAGTTGCTCAAATGAATACAAATTCAAGGAAGTAAACCAACCTGATTTCTTCTGTCTCAATACTGACTATGTCGCCTGAAACTAGCTCGTACTGGTAGCGGCACTTGGAACAGGACACGATCTGTGGAACAAATGACACTCTCCGCATCACAAAATATCATGAGCAAATGTTGTACGAATAAAGTGTTTCTGTAAACAATGATGTATTATTGATTGATTGATTGTTACAAGATTGATTTAATTACAATTCCTATACAATCTATATATAGAAGAAAATGTGGTAGTAGGTGTAGTGGAGGTGATAGTGGGTTAGGTGAAGTGGAGTGTGTGGTGAAGTGGAGGTAGGTGAAGTGGAGTGTGTAGTGGAGTAGGTGAAGGTAAAGATGGGAAATTCTAACAAGGCTGTAACTGGGTGGGTATACTTGAAAGTCAAATTAGAAAAGAGTTCAAATGTATATATAAATGGGAAATTTAGCTATAAACCCCCTTTACCTTCCTTTCATTGTTAAAAGGACTAAGAAAAAAATTGGGTATGTTTGGTTTGTGTTTGAGAGATGTGTTTTAGAGATAAAAAGTACGAAAAGTTGTTTGGTTTGGTTTTTTTCAAAAGATGTTTTGGAAAATTATTTTGAGAGAGAGTTTTGAAAAAAGTGATTGATTTGATGTGTGTGAGAGAGAGATTTGTTTGGAAAACTTGTTTGGTTTACAAGTTTTGAGAAATTTTTTTGAGAAAATTTGTTTGGTTTGATTACTTTTAAAAAGTTATTTGTAGAGAAAATTTCTCAAAATTTTTTCAGAAATACAAACCAAATGAACACATTATATTTTCTAAACCCCCTCATAATTATAAAATTTTGTATAAAGGACAAAATTTATTATTTAAATATTTTATTAGACTATTATACCCTCAACTAAATTTCCTCACCTTCTCCACCCACTCTCTCCTCACCTTCTTTGCTCTTTTACGAGCTCTCTGTTATGATTCTCAACATTCTTCGATCTCCTCCTACGCCGATTCAGTTTTCCGATCACTCTCCGGCGGTTCATACGCCGCCGCCGGTGTCTTCCTCAAGGCGGTGGAACATGATCGAAGCCTCAACCAAGCAAACGCACAAACAAATTCTCTCTTTTCCTTCTCTCTTCCATTCCCAGGGTTTGGATTGGATTCGTTCGAATCTCTCGTGATTTCAACCAAAACTGTGAATATACCTAAATCACTTTCAGTTGCAGAGAATTTTCTTTGAATGGTGCATAGGTTTCGTAGTGGAAGAGATCGTCGGAGATGATCGGAGAAAGCTTCGACGACGTTGACGTATCGCCTTCCAATTCTCATGAAGTTCATGTTCTTGACGTTGATGATAGCCTCGTCGATCAAAAATTCGAATTATGAAAGAGTATAGAGACGAATCGCGCGACTGTTCAAAATTTTCATATTTGAACACAGTTTTTCAGATTTTTCATATATATATGTGTGTGTTTGTGTTTGTGTGTGTGTGTGAGGGAGAGATTTTTCATCTAGATAGTGTTGTCAAGTTCTTAAATTGATCTATTAATGAGTTGTTACTATGCTCTCTCAACTTTTTGTTGTAAAATTGTTTTTGATTTTGACAAATTTTTATGTCGTGAGTGAGCAATATGGATTGTGTATATGTAATAGATAACAGAGAAGACAAAGAGGTGATACGAAAGAGGCAAGTAACTGTGAAGAAACAGAAGAACAGTGGTTGTGAATGATCTAATTTCATTTGATAGAACTAGAGTAAAATTTTACTCTGGTTCTATTGCTCTGTTTTTTTCATTTGACAGAACCAGAGTAAAATTTTACTTTTATATAGAGTAAAATTTTACTTTTAGTTTCAGAGTCTCACAGTTTACTTGTTTTTCAGGGTAAAATTTTACTTTTATACAGAGTAAAATTTTACTTTTAGTTTCAGAGTGTAAAATTTTACTCTTATTCAGAGTAAAATTTTACTTTTATACAGAGTAAAATTTTACTTTAGTTTCAGAGTGTAACATTTTACTCTTATTCAGAGTAAAATTTTACTTTTATACAGAGTAAAATTTTAATTTAGTTTCAGAGGGTAACATTTTACTCTTATTCAAAGTAAAATTTTACTCTGTATAAAATTTTACTTTTATACAGAGTAAAATTTTACTCTGAAATACATAGTGAATATGGATTAACAGGAAAGCTGATAGATATGAGGGTAATATAGTAAAAGAAACAAGTTTTAAAATATCAGGGGTTTTGAAAGTACTTATGTAATTCTTGTCCTTTTGAAAGACAAATTAGATAGTGAGGGGGCTATCACCAAATCTCCCTAAAAGGTTAACTATGACAATCAAGAGTGAAAAAATCAAAGTAACAACGTAGCGAAAGGACATGAGAACTCTACGGAATTGACCAAGTTTTAAAGATTTAAAAGGATTAGATCCGAAGTATCGACTTCGAGTCAACTCAGGAGCTCACTAGATATACGCTTAGTCCTTCAACTTAATGGAAGCGAAAAAATAAAATAAAAATAAATTAATTACACTTTTCACTCTTGTAATTTGACTCAAATTTTTAATTTATTCTCTATAGTTTTAATTTGAATAATTTGTTCTCTATATTTAGGTATACTTTTAATTTGGTTCTTCTATTTAAATTGGAGATTAAAATTAACAAATTTGGGACACTAATCAATTTTCTAAAGTTTCAATTTGGTTTTTCATTCTAAATCAGAGGTTAAAATTAATAATTTTGAGACACTATTAAAATTAACAACAATTTAAACAGAATAATCAAATTAAAACTTATCTTAAAGTGTAATGACTAATTGTTCAAATTAAAACTATAAATTAAAACTAAACTTAAATTGTTAAGGCTAGTATAATATATTTTAGTGGGGAAAAGAAAGATGGGTATGTTGATGATATAATAAAATAAAAGTGGATATGTGAAAGATGTTGTTTTGGGTGGAGAATAGTTTAGAATGGAAAAGAGTATATAATAATAATAAGAAAAGTGAATTGGGTGGCCCGAGGAGGGTTCAATTCATGTGCTTATTATTTATTTATTTTATTTGTTTTTGGTAGAGTGGATCACATGGGTGAGTGGTGGTAAAGGAAGTAAAAGAAAAAGAAAGGAAAAGAGAGGGTTTAAAGGGAGAGAGAGAGAAAAGAGAGATCAATCGGTGTCCCCCATGTTTTCCTCCTCCAACCGAGACCCAGAGAGAGGGAGATTGAGTGGGTGCATATGATGATGTTGGGTCCATGGAGAGAGAGAGAGAGATTGCCCTCCTTGAGTTTGATCTGGCCATTTCAATATGGAGAACAGATCCAGTCTGTGGGTCGAATTTGACACCATTCAAGGAATGCAGAGCTGCCATTGCTGATTGATGATTAACAAAGGTGGCAAAAGCAACAACCTGGGTGCCGCGACCAGTGTACTTGAGCTGGCAAGAATCGAAGCCGGAACGGCGGCGAAAGAGGTTGTGGATCTCGCGGGCTTTGACATCGTCGGGGAGGCCCGAAACGAAGAGGGTGTACCTGTTCAGGTTGGTGGTGAGGCAGGTCTAGCAATCCGTAATGGTAGATCGGCCAAATTGATTGAAGTTCCTTGGGAAGGGGCCACTACTATGGCAGCTCTGTTTGAGCAGTCTTGTAAGAAGAATTCACACGAACGATTTCTTGGAACAAGAAAGCTAATTAAGAGGGACTTTGTAACAGCTAGTGATGGCAGGTATGTGTAGAAAATAAACGGAATAAGTTGAAGTCCGGCGGGCGGCTAAGGTGAGGTTGCCGCCCGCCGAGGAAGAGAAAATACTAGGTTCTAAACCTGCTCTGATACCATGTAAACAATGATGTATTATTGATTGATTGATTGTTACAAGATTGATTTAATTACAATTCCTATACAATCTATATATAGAAGAAAATGTGGTAGTAGGTGTAGTGGAGGTGATAGTGGGTTAGGTGAAGTGGAGTGTGTGGTGAAGTGGAGGTAGGTGAAGGTAAAGATGGGAAATTCTAACAGTTTCTTTCCGTCCATTATGTCATCAAATTAGAATTCTAAGAGAACCAATCAGACATTAGCATCTGTTGACATGACTTGAACAAAAGCCACAGGCTATTTCAAATATACTGTTCAAGTTTAAAAATCAAGAGCTCTAGAAATCCTAAGGAACTAATTGACAGCTAGTTGAAAACTTACCTCAACAAGCAAGAAAAGACCTGATGTCAAAAGTACTTGTTGAAAATAAAAGAAAATATGGAATTGGCATAAGCTTTCCCTGCATTTCGATGATGAGAAAAAAGATGCAATAAAGTCTGCATCCGGACATTATTTATCATGACCTGTTGGGAATCAATCAAATAGGGTCCCTACCAAGATCAGAGAACATAGATAGAAAAAGACTACATTCAGGAAAGGAAAAGAAGGAACTATGGCATATCTCACAATGCTTAGAAATATGTCACGTGGGAACTATAGTTATCTAGTCATCTAATAATATGCACTAACTTCATCAGATAGACTATGTGATGCAGAATCCAAACAGAGAAATGGTGGTGGTGGTGGTGGTGAAGGAAGCTACATAATACAATTGAAATAATAATAAAACTCAGATTCTTTATATTGAAAATCTCCTTAATGCACCAAACAACTGGTAATTCAACTTGACACTCTCGCTTGTGGACATACGAGGTATATGACTGATGTCTCTCAAACCATCAATACCTAAGTATTCACACAAAGACAATATAAAGATTGCAAAGGTTCCAAAAACAATTCATAGCTCATATGTGCATGCCTGAATACCATGCTGGGGTTGTGCAACAGTGACAGCTATCATACATGTTGGACACCTCACTATCTTACCGAAAGGGACCTGCAGGAAAATCAAAGAAACTGTATTTGAGTTAAGTCAATAACATTGTCACCATTAAAATGAGTAACCATGCCAGCAAATAGGGCCATCAAAACTTAAACATATGGAAGTCAAGAAATTCATACTTGAGGGAGTATTTGGTGTTGTTTGTCGGACAGTGGTTAGTGGTAGAAATTACAAATTTGTGAAAACAATGGGTGGCAAAGTTGCCAAACCTTGAATCAAAGGGTAAGCAAGCTTGTCTACTGGAGCTACGAAACGTACATGTGTGAGCAGTGGTATATTGCAGGCTGTTTAGTTACCTTACCTATCATAAGTTTCCTTTTTCTGGTATACTATCTTGGCAGCTCAAGTGCAGCGTGATTACCTAGTACCCTGTACCCTATTTCAAATCTCCTTTTTGTTTTTGTTGTGTGTGCTCAAAGGGAATTTTCTGTTGTGGTTCTTTAGTGATTTCTGCACCAATGAAAATTACCCCCATAGCTAATAAAAAGATGAAAAACTACAACCATAAAATCCTGAGAACTTCTATTGCTAATGTAAGAAACAGATCCAGAAAAATGACTCAAAAGGTTACAATAAGCAATCATTTGCCATTTAAAGTCGAATAAATTTTAAGGCAGAAAAGCATGCTTTGAAGCGAAAATTGAACCTAGTATATAAAAGCAGCATTGCTGATATTCATTTTGAGTGTGAAGAGAAAGGCCAAAGAGAAACATTGCTAGATCATGTAAAGAATAATGGTGTGTTGCTTTGAAAGGCTGAAATGGAATAGCAGAATTCATGTTGCAGTCTGCAGATAAATAGGACAACTTAATTACAATGGCAATCACCAGAAGAAGTAAAAGTACAACGACATCCATACCTCTTCACCAGGAGAAACTCCAACTCGACTAACGGCACCAATAATTTTAAGGGCATCTGAAACTCTCAGTGACGCTGCAAGACCCCGAACTAATAATGTGTAAGTGTGAATATCTGGCCTGGACCACTTCCATCTCTGACTAAATGAAGCCATTTCACCACTAGCTGCCCCTTTATTCATGTTTTGACAATGTCCATATATTAGTTTTCACACAAATAAACAAAAAAAGCAATGAAACTCAGAATTAGCAACAAGGGCAACCTATGTTACCTAGAACGTGGATTGTTCTGGTATGAGGAACAAAAACAGGAACAAAATATGCTCTAAAATGTGGTAAGATACGAGTAAACTTTTTAATTTGACATCAAATAAAACAGGAACAAAATATGCTCTAAAATGTGGTAAGATACGAGTAAACTTTTTAATTTGACATCAAATAAATTATAGTTGTTTTTTTTTTCAATTTAATCGTTCAACAACACATTTCTATGAATATTGCGACCCATTGTTTTATATTTTGTCAATCTAAAAAACTACACTCCATCACCCAGTTAAGGAGAACTCTAGGAGATTTATATATATATATATATATATAAAAAGCATAGAAAAAATTATGGGATTTTTTTTTGGAACACTAAATTCACTGTTTTGGAATGGAAGTGTAGGATGATTCAAAACATGAGTTTCATGTTTTTTGGTAATACTGAGTGCAACACAGGAGAACTAAACATGAAGTATAGCACTTTAAGTTCATTATTTTTTTTAAAAAAGGACCTAAGAAATAAATATAATACTTGAAAGTCAAATTAGAAAAGAGTTCAAATGTATATATAAATCATCCCAATTTTTTTGTTCTTCCCATGTTTCAAGCAAGTACAACCAAATAAAAGCAAGAAGATCAACTGTAATGTCAAACAAGTTCTTGATCTACTTCATTCTAATTTGACACAACATATATATTGTAATAATATCCATCCACAGAATACTATGCTAATTGATGACAAGTACCAAGTTAAACCGCATCTTTCCCATTTTCAAGCACTGTATTGTATCTTGATCATCTCACTATAATTAATAAGCGAATGAATAAAAATAACAATTTAGATAGTTGATAGTTCAATAGTTTCATATCATAATAAGCAATGTGCATTCAAAGCAGCAGTGGCTCAGCATTAGAATAACAAACAACACAATTTACAGCATAGAACATCAATATTCACCTAATTTAAGCACAAATTTTTCTACTTTCAGTTCCAAATTTGGGAAACACAAGTGCATATAGTATTATGTACCAGAATTAAAGCTGGAACGCATGGCGGAGAAAACTGACAATGCCAAGTCGACATTGTTCCGATCAAACGCAGCAGATATAATCGAACAACAATTAAGCCGCTCACAACACCACCACCACTTGGATTCGAGTTTTCTACGATCAAATCCAAGGCTTCGATTCGAGTTTTCTGCGATCAAATCCAAGGCTTCATTCGCATGTTTCGATGCAGAGATTCGATCAAGCAAGTCATCATCATCATCATCATTGAACAATTCGGAGGGCTCGGCGACCTCGTTCTGGCTCTCGCTTAGCGAAGCTTTGGTATTAAAGAATTTGTTGGAAGCAGAGAAGGATTGTGGTTTGGATATGGAGGTTGTGGTGTTGAATATGAGGAAAAAGAGAGAAACGCTGGGCTTAGTGTTGGCGGTGGTTGAGAGGTTAGAGAGAGGAAGGCGAGAGAGCCATGGAGACCCCAAGTTCAGAGTCATAATTTACTTTGCTTTGCTTGCTGAAGCTAAGCTGTGATGGTAACGATTCACTCTCTCTCTCTCTCTATATATATATATCTATATCTGAAATGGTGGTGAATCTGGTGATGAAGATTAGGAACGAGAGGTTGCCAAGCAAGGACAGAAGTGACTATGATGAGGAGGGAAGGGAGGATGTTCGTGTGTTGACCGTGCATGGAAATTATGAATGGACCCGGAAATTGTGGCCGTTGGATTGGTGGGCATATGTGGATGGACCAATCAAAAAGAGAAGAAAAATGAGAATAGAAAAAAGAAAAAGGAAGCAGGGTGGAGGTGCGGGGAATCGAACCCCGTGCCTCTCGCATGCGAAGCGAGCGCTCTACCATATGAGCTACACCCCCATTTTGCTAATTGTTTTATAGTTTATTATATTTGTTTGTCTTTTCTTTTATTTAAAAAAGAGACATCAAATACAACAATGCTACGTCGCTCGAAATTAGCCTCCCCGAATCCCCTAAAGGACGAAACGACGTCATTTCGTCGTTTTAATTTTTTTTTTTTTTCAATTAGAAAATCAGAAGAGATGAAGAAGAAGAAAGAAGAAGAGGAAGAAGGAGGAGGAGGAAGAAGAAGGGACTGGAGCTGCAACGATCCATCTCCGAGCTGCGACGATGGCAGAGCTGCGACGATCGGACGGTCGGCCGGAATGCAAAGGGGCCTCTGTGTGTGTGTGTGTGTCTCCCTCTCTCCTCTCTGCTCTCCCTCTCTCTCCCTCCCTCCCTCTCCCTCTTCCTTGTCTGTGCTTGAGCTCAAAAAGCTTCGAAAATGGAAGAAAAAAAAGAAAAAAGAAAAAAAAAAAGCCTAATGCCTAAAATGACGTCGTTTTGGGCATTAGGGGGATTAGGGGGGTAAATTTTCAAGCTACCAATCGTTATTCCATCAAATATTACATTAATTAGGATTAGAGATGATCACCGATTGCGATGGTTCAGGTGGCATCTTATCCGTCAACCATCCAAAATTAGGTGAATTAAAAAATCTGTCCACTAGTTTGGTGGATGCGAATTGAGCAGGCTGTACGGGTTGACAGATGGATGTGATCGGTTTGACAATTTAGATTTTACAAATTTTAATTTTTTTTAATTATAATTCATAACTTTCACGATCTCCAATAATTAATAATTTGAAAAAATGTATATAATTTATCTATAATAAGCCATGGTACCCCGTATGCATATTTTTAAGGTATTATTTTTCATTTTCACAAAAATATATATTTATTTCTACTCTATATTGCTACTTGTTAGCAGTTTCTTTTTTTTTTTTTTTTTAACTTCATCTACGGATGGATCAGGTTTATGCGGATGCGGGATGGTTAATCCATCATCCGAACCGTATCCGTAAATTTTGTAATATTTTATCCGTATCTGTCCATCGAAAGAAATACATCCGCCCAAAATCATTCAGGTTTGATCGGTTTGGTTGAGTTGGGCGGGTTAGACGAATCCATGATCACCCCTAGTTAGGATGAAAATGGTTCAATTCAGTTGCAATTGAGAAAGAACTAAGCACTAAACCAAACTTTTTAATTTTATTAATTGAGAAATCAAAACAGACCGTATAATATGATTTCATTTTATCAAATTTGTTAGTTTTGTCTAATATAAGAATTCTCTTGAGATTTTACGGGTTTTATGAAAACTTATAAAATTTCACATTGGAAATAAATCAAGAAAAATGATAAATAAGTTGTTCTATAAATACATTCCTTCCCTAATTTTTGTTACAGACCATATATTTTTATTACTTATATTCTAATGCTCAAATAATTAAGATATAAATGTATTTAAATATAATATTTCAGTGAATTCAGCTTGTACTGGTGTAATATTTTTTAAAACTGAAACAAATCATAAGTTATGAAAAATAGACCGACTCAAACTTTCTGTCAATCTTAAGGGGTCAGTTTAGTTAGATCGGTTTTTCTTACATCCCAATATTACATCAAGTTTCTAAATTTGTATCGGTAGGTAGAACAATTGTTTTTTAAAAAAATAATAATAATTATAATATTGTATTTAATGAGCTTTTGTTTTTGTGTTTTTTTGACAATATGACATAATTCAAAGCGATTGGGATAAATTTGCTTCTTTTTTTTTTTAGGAAGAAATTTGCTTATTTTGTTATTTTCATTGTTTTACTCTAATTAAGATAAGAATGCTTCAAATCCCATAAAAATTTCATATGTTTAGAATTCCGAACCACTCGCATGAAAGGAATAGAGTTTTGGAAATTTGACAAACAATTTATCTATTTTTCGTGAACCTTTATTTTAAAAAAGTCAAATAAATGGAAAATATTTAAGATCAAGTACATTCAACATGCATTTCTTGGATTTTACGATCCACTGTACTTTTTTCAATATTTCTAAGAATTTCCAACCCTGTGAGCAAAATGCGGCAAAATGAAAATCCAAACCTTAATTATTTTCCGTTCACTGTTTTCGAAGAGCAGGTTGGTTTAAAAATGTCTTACTTCGAAGGAAGTTCATGAAAAGCGATTCACAGGCCACAATTTAGTCTGTTAAAAATCAATTCAACCAACCCAACGACATTGCTGTGACATAGAAAGCGGAACAACAAGCATTCTGACATGAAAAGGCCATCTTTCCTCAGAACATGGAAGAAAAGAAAAAAACAAAAAGCACAAAAGTTGCATTGATCAGAATCATAAAATAAAAGAGGTCAAATGGATTATTACGGTGATATATTTCGCTAGCAGTTGGCAGCGTAGCAATGTTATCATCAGTTTTAACTAAACAAAAATAACTTTATTCTGATAATCATGTTGCTACCCCACTCTTCATGCGGGACCTAACTAGCCGAGAAGAAAAAGAACCAAAAAAAAAAAAAAAACACTTCATCAGTTGACTCCATAGACCCACTTCTCTGCATTGCTTGTGTAGTTAACCAACTCTTCTGGTTTGAACCACAAATTGATTTCATCCTTGGCTGTCTCAGGGCCATCACTTCCATGGATGATATTTCTGCAAAGCACAACATTTCAGATTGAAAATAAAAAGCCCAATACAAGTTGTGCTATTTAGAACTAATGAAAGAAGTTCATGAAGTAAAAAATTATATTGTTGACTTCATAAACCTTAAGAAAGGCAACTCTGGAAGTGAAAGACAGCTTGGTAAGAGTAAGGCTCCATTGATTAGAAAGAAAAAAAATGGAATAAAGTGAAAGTGAAAGAAAAGAACATAAATTTCGTACAAGCATTCGATTAGAATGAAAATTTTGCAAGAAAAAGAAACAGATTTGAAATTTTATAAATAATCCCTTGCATGCACAAATTTAAATGTTCTTGTGCTTTCTTGAAGAAATTCGAAAGTTAGTCACAACGTTAATATGGGTTGGTTGTATTGTAGTTTCCATCACTTCCATGTTAAACACACTCAGAAAAAGTTTCTAGTTTTTCTCTTTCCTTCATTTTCTACTACTTTCATCTTAAACAAACTGAGCCTAAAGGAAACAAAAAATCAGAACTGATTTAAAACAATACCTGCCAACAACAACAGCTAGATCACCTCTAATGGTTCCAGGTTCTGATTTCTGTGGGTCTGTGGCTCCAATGAGCTTCCTCCCATATTTTATCACTCCTTCACCTTCCCAGACCTATAGAAGTAAAAAAAAGTTTGAATTCAGCTAGCTGTTAAGTTGTCAGACAAGGAAATAGGAGTCAAAGTTCTTCTAACCATTGCAATAACAGGGCCAGAGCTAAGGAAGTCGCAGAGGCCATTGAAGAAGGGTCTTTCCTTGAGATCATGATAATGCTTCTGGGCAAATTGCTTTGAAGGAACCACTATTTTGATTGCCACAAGCTTAAACCCTTTTCTCTCAAAACGCGATATGATTTCTGAAATCTGGAACACAAAGAAGCTGCCTTAGGTCAGATATTTCAATTCCACCCAACCAAAAAATAAAAAAATAAATAAAATAACTATTACAAACTGTTACCATGCAACTAGTGGTGTAACATACTAAAGTGTGGTAGTAATCTTACCAGCCCTCTCTGCACTCCATCGGGCTTGATAGCAATGAAAGTGCGCTCCATCTGAATAGTGAAGAAAAGGTGCATTAATTTTTACCAAATAGATGAGGGGAAAATGATGATATATGGATGTTGACTATGGGTAATAATATAGAATTAATTGCTAATTACAGTACCTCTGCAGCATGTGCCTCCTGCTCCTGAAGCATGTAGGCTGCAGTAAAAAGAAAGGGTCATAAAGGAAAAATGAGGATTCGGAGATTAAACAAGCTTTCAAGTGATAAAATCATGCAACAAAGATCCAGTTAGCCATGGCTATCACATAGATAATCACATTATCTGTGATAAGCATCCAAACCCTCTAAACAAGTATGGACAAAATCGATGTTCGTCATAACTGTAAATAGTTTTGTCAATTATCACCGCAATATTAGTTGTAAATCATAAATGGATAGAAATCAAAAAATTCAAGGTACATGGACTATTTGTGAACATAATAGCATTGATCTATCACGACTATGATTTTTTTCCTGAAAAAATTCTAAAGTTTGTGAAATTAAAGCTAATGAATTTTAATCCAGCTAACAAATTGAATGAATTGGCATGAGATCGGATCAATGCAGGAAGTATGATAGCCCACAACAAATCTTTCAGTTGGGGATCAAGATGTAATGTCGGGAGAAACCCAAGCAAGAGCTCCAAACTTGAAAGACTCCAAACACATTGTTTCAACCCATTGCCGTGCTTAAGCACAGTGTAATTGATGTAGAAGAGGTCCCGGATGCCACGATGTTAAATCTTCAACAAGGGACAGGGCTCCTCTTCCTCTCTAAACCAACTTAAGAAAATGCTAATTTTCTGTCTTCTCACAGTGAAGATATAGGACAAGTAAGTGTGATGTTTAAGTCAACAAAAATCAAATCAAACAGATTATAAAATAGACAAAGACATAAATAGACCAAAAACATTGAAATGTTAGGTCTAGGCCTTCCATTCATTTATCCATCATCCAGTATCTAGTTCTACAAAACAAATGCAAATCAATAACAGGAAGCAGGATCCCAAACAGCCAAATGCAATAACATTATTCATTCTTACAAACCGAAGCCATTATTTCGTTACAAAAGGGCACAAAGTACAATATATCACTTCATACCAAAGATATGAGATTCTGCACATACAAGGTGGTCAAGGTATAATCAAGTACAAAATATCAACAAAAAAAAAAAAATGAAATTCCACGTACTTCTTGGCTTCCTAGAAGCAGGTTAAAAGAAGCTCAAATAGAATTACAGAAAAATATGAATACGTTTCTGTCAAAACCTGCAGCAGGAAGGGCAAGAGCCCCAGAAATCCATCCTCCGGACACTTTTCCAGAATCCCTCCCATATGAAGCTAATAAAGAAGGCAGCTTTCCTCTGAATGAAACTGCTGCAGCTCCAGCAGCAGCTCGACCTTCTACAGTTGTAGACAACACAGTAAGTTAATACATTTATGCATATATTACCATGTATACTTGTACTATACGTATGCAGAATGCATATGTATCTGATATACGCGCATGAAATGTTTATAACATGTCTAGTTTACAAAAATTCGGTTAAGTAATGAAACACAGTAACAAGAACAAAGTCAAGACACTGTGAGCAGAACATACAACATGTTTAAATAGATGAGTGACTAGATCTAAAAAGAAAGAATTCAGATGAATGCACTAGAAGTGGCAATTTACACCCCCAAAAATGTGGAAATTTGCAAAGAACCAACGGGACTAGCCCGCTCGGCCCGAACATCTTAGGAGATCAATGGTTCGAATCTTCCCACCTCGTGTATTTGTTGTGAATATCTCTCCCACTTTTTGGGAATTTTTTGTATTAATTATGTCATGTCATTGGGTTTCATTTTAATATCATATATAAATCTAAAAATAAAAAATAAAAATCTACAACAGAGCTGAATACAGATTCTTATTGAAAGTCCACATAGAACAAACGATTACACAAATTGTAGAAAAACAATACAATATCTTTTAAAATAGGATGAGAATACAAGAATTGAACTGTGACTATTATCAGAACGAATCGCTCAATAAATATCAGATGAAAATCAAGAATTTACCGAAATCAAATAATCTACTATATAAGATATAACAAACGCATGAATTAAATACTATTAATAAAACAAAAATCAACAAATTTTCGAAAAGTGCAATTCAAAGGGATTGAAATGTGGGAAATTTTACCAGCAAAAACATGAAAGGTCTGCTTTGAAGAAGAAAGCAGAGACTTTGCTGCACGAGAAGCAGATCTGAATACCTGAGACCTCATAATGGGTGCTCACAAGGTGGTTAAGAAAAGCTCTCTGTTTTGTTCGAAGCTTTGGCTGTAGAGAGAGAGAGTTTAGTGTGTGTGTGTGTGTGTTTGTGTTGTGAGGAGTGAGAGTGAGGAGAGGAGATGATAGCTTTTTGTGGTGAGATAGTTCCGCTTTATTTGGTTATTTGAAAAGAAATTTAAAAAAATAAAAGAAAAATATAAATAAAATTAAATAAAATATAATTATATTTTATTTATTTTTTGCCTTTTCCTATTCAAATCTTTTCTAAAATTCGTTAATCAGTGTTAATGTGAAATCCTTTATTAGAAATCTGTAAACGACGCCGCTTGTGCAACTATATGGATTCTGACGATCATTTTGTTGTTTGGTTATCATGATTGCTGAAAGAAAGGCGGAGGGAATGAGTGTGGGAAAAGGGAATCCAGATTCTTTTGATTCTCTCCTTACTTTCTTATTCGTTGAGTTTACTATTGATTATATTATATATGTACAAAATTAAGTTAATCGGATATTAGAAAATATGAATTCAAAAAAGTTATTTATTAAATTTTAAAAAAAAATAGTTTTTAGTTCAATAATCTCAACACGTAGTTTTTGATATTCGATCAATTTGATTTTTTATAGGTATGATATACTCGATAAATCTTAAAATATCAACGGTTGGAATCATCGAAATTAGACCAAAAAATAAATCCAATGGCTTAACAAGTAAGAAAGTAAGGAAAAAAAATTAAGGAGAGGATCTTGAACGGAAAAAAGGACCTACGCTGCCTCTCTTGTTTCACTGTTTTTTTTGTGAGAAATTGAGGAATAAAGGATTTTACTTTCCCAACTAAAAAACGAGAAGATAAAAAATTATAATATTAATTATTAATATTTATGATATTTTTTTTACATTTTTATAAATATATTTTACTGATACCGTGTCAGTGTAATTTTTTCAAAAAATAATGATAAATTATTAGTAATTTTATATTCATACAATTTCTTTCTCTACAAATCTTCCAAATGAGATGATAAGATATAATACAAGTTCTATACCAATTGAAGTGTGTAGATAAAACATTTTCATTTTACTTGTCACCTCATTCGAAGGGATTTAAGGAGAAATTGCGTAGATAAAACATTTTTCATAAATTATAGGTTAAGTTTGTTTCAAATTTAAATTATCTCATTTTGATTATTTAAATTATTTATTTTGTAAAACTTTTAACATATATCATTCATTTGAAAAAATATAGATTGATCTGTAACATTTTCATTTTATCACATATAACTCTACAAATAAGAATGACAAGTATGATTTTGTAATAGGCCATTCATTTTTTTAAAATAAATATGATACAATGAAAATATTATAATTATCGGATCGACGTAAATTTTTTTTTACCAATGATATATATAAAACGTCTTATAAAATGAATTGTTTGAATCATCAAAACAAAAGACATAATGGGCATCACGCCCCTCAAGTTTCAACTTCAAATTTGAACTTAACATAAGCTCAAACCTAAACTATACTCACATTCCCTAAGATTTAGCAAAAATATAATTAATTTTAGGAGTACTTACGTGTAGATCCTAATAAGTGAACTTATTGTCTAATAGGTCATATTGGAAACTTTTGTCATAAAAAAAGTCACTAATTGTAAGTTTTAGCGACAATTTATAAAAATCATGACAAAAAAAAGTTAATAATTATCAATTTTTAGTGACATATATAAAAAATTGTCACAAAAAAATTATTTTTAGCTACAATTTTACCAAGACTTATTTTCAATAGGACTTGATGGGAATTAAGTCCAACTATTAGAACCTATTAGTAGTTTACCCTTAATTTTTATATACTTTTGACATAATTGCATCAATCTCTTCTAATATTTTAATTTATATAATAGTTCGATCATTTTTATCAATAATTCGTTAGCTATATGAATAAAAAAAAATTAATGTTATCATCTTTTATCAACTTAAATATTATATTTATCTTCATTTATTTCGATATTTATCCACAATTTGCATTAGTTTCGGTCAAATCGTTTTGTTAAAAATAAAGTATGTGTAATTATATTAAAAAGTATAGAATTAACTGTAATTTTTTTAAAATCCTAAGAGAAGTGAGTGTAATTTATCAAAATAAATAAATAAATATAAGAAAAGGCCCCTGTTTTATTTATGTCTTATTCACTCCCCCCCCCCCCCAAAAAAAAACAAAAGAAAAAGAAAAAAAGGTCGAATAACACAATCAAACCAAGGACCAGACATATACTTAAATGAATGGATGGGTTTTTTTTTTTTTTTGTAAAGTGCATCAAGTAACAAATCTTATAAAATCTTATTTATCCATGCATTTTGTGAGTTTAGTATTTTTAAAAGAAATAAAAATGAGGAACTTTTTTTTGGAATTTCAAAAGGGTTAGAGGGTCTACTACAGTTCTATTTCCATAATTCTAACCGTTTATTTTTTATAGAGCCCTAAGTGTATATCATTCATAAAGAAAAATAGATTGAATTGATAATCGCAACTTATTTATTTTCTCACATTTGTCTCCAAAAAAATGATGGTCTATTTCAAAAGTATATTTATCGTCTATTTTTTCGGAAACAAATGCAAGAAAATGAATAGCTTACAGTTATCAAATCGACATAATTTTTTTTCATGAATGATATAAATAAACTAAAAGTCCAAAAAATGAAGGATTGTGAGTCCTACGGATCACTGAAGTTCTCTTATGTTAAAATTTAAAATGACGATAAACCCAATTAAAAATACTTTTGATTAATGTGCAAAACACTTTTTTTAACTTTTTCAAATATAAGGGTGCCGTTTGGTAACACTTTACATTTTCAGTTTTCTGTTTATATTTACAAAAATTTTAAAAATTCAAATAAAAACTTGTTTGGTAAAATTTTTGATTTATAAATCAGTGGTCTCATTACCCACAATCTTAATACTAAACAATGGACCAGGATCACTGTTAACATTGATCATAAAACAAATAATAATTTTTCCTGTTAGCCAAAAAAAAAAATAAAAAAACCTTTCTATTGAATGATTTGTCTTTGAGAAAATGACGGGGGATTTTTTGTATAGGCTTAACCCCATCAAACTTTTTTATTACTCTTGTTCTTATCTATTTAAGCCAGCAGTCAAACAGTGGAAAATAATTTCGTTTTCACTGTCCTTTTTCCCATGCTAATTCGGTAGCCAACCATATATGTTTTAAAGCTTTATCATAGAGGAAGCTTCCCTTTCTTTTGGCACTATAAAGTAAAACAAACAATACTTGACATATACACATCAAGCGATGTGGACAAAAGTAACATATTCTTGCTAACTAGGACACTTCTTCTAAAAATATAAAAATCAATCATAGTATTAGATACAAAACTTTTACATAATATGAGATCCGTTTCATGTGAAAAAGTTATACTCAATTCTATAATTAATTATTGTGTTTCTTGGACTTTTTCTAACTAGAATTCAATTGTGAGAGAAGTTCATCTTCGTTAAAAATGCACCGCTTCTCTTTAGTTAACTGGAATCCATCATAAAAAGGTTAATGTTCCACTGGTAGACTTGTATCCTAATATATTTGGAGACATAAAACATCACCATCTATCTTCTCCAATTGAAGCAAATTAATGTGATCCATTGATGTAAAACATCGCTATACCGGAAAAACATGCGTCTAATTCCTCCACAAGCATTCTGTTGGGGTAGTGATCGCAGATCCAACGAGGTAGTTTGGGAGATGTGCCCTGACTTTAATTTTTGGAGTAAAAGTATTTGGTATTTTTACACTTATGACATGCTACTTTAATCTATATGTTTTTATAGTCAAAAGAGAGACAACTATCTCTATATCTTATATCTTTTTGATCATAGTGAAAAATCACAGTGGATGTAACCTTAATTTATTGCGAATCACATAAATTCCTGTATTCTTATGTGCTTGCTTTTTGCTTCTTCTTTTTTTCCCCCTATTTATTAGGTGTATCAATTCCTAACAAAATCTAGTGACAAGTGGGTATATTGACTATTCTCTTATATTACATAGACATGCAATAAAAAAACCTCTCACAAATTCAACTCATTGAATTTCCATTGATATGTGAATACAATAATTTCCATTCATTGTATTGTTCACTTTGAAAGAGAGATTGGATGAGTATTTACTACTCCACAAACCTTGACATGGTGTAGATGAGGCCGATTCAGATGTTCAAGAAGTACAATGTTGGTGGCATACATGATTCTATTTCAAACTTCTAAACATGAATTTTAATGAAATCAGTAGATACAACACCCTTTATTATTACACCAGAATGTCATGTTATGTACAGAACATTATGATTAAATTTCGCGAAATCACTGCTAAGTTACATGTCGGTTAATCCGAGGTAAATTTACTTGAAATTTTGGACATATTTACAAGTTACTGTTACAGATGAATAAAAGATTTCACTTCTTTCTTGAATCATTGACAGCAGTTCTATCGGGTTCTGACTTGCAGTCAACTTGTAATGTCGTCAACCAAGAGTCCAGCTGAGAAAGAAACAAAAAAAAGTATAGATGAAAAAAAGTGGAAATTATGAATGTAAGCGTTCATCAAAGAAAACAACTATGATAAAAATGAATGTCTTAATACTAACTGTGCATTACCATTTATTCTTGTGCAAAGAGAAAAAGGGATTGTTTGGAAGTGAAATATCAAATGAATTATGATGATGCCAGTCTCTAGTACAACGTAGAAGTCATTATCATTTAACAGATTGGAAAGAAATTATTTCGGAAAATTTTTCTTTTCTTCTTCCAATAGGGGTAAATAACCATTTCCTAATCAGCAAATTTAGGCCAAGTTTGGCAAGTTGCCAAAAATCTAAAAAGTCAAAAAGTTATTCAAAAAGTTAAAAAGTTATCACTAATCACCAAAAGTCAAAAATTACGACTGCACAACTCCCAATTCTAATTTTTCCCTCCGCAGCCCTCTAATTTATACAATTTTTTAATACACATTTTTTCATAAAAAGTCAAAAAGTTAACCCAAACATCCATATTTTTTTTCTCAATTTTTTAGTTCAAAAAGACAAAAAGTGCACTTATTTAGCACATCCTAAACAACCCCATGACAATCTCAACAAACATGTACCAACAACACCTTATCACAATGCTCATAAACAAGTGACTGCAAGCTTCGAGTGAGAGAGCATTGACAGTAAAGGTAGAACCATTCAGGCCATGTTTGTTTGGGCGGACTGGATTAGCATTCCCATAACTAATAGTCCTAACACTATGAATCCGTTGGATTATGTATCCTATCTTAACTAATAGTCAAATTTAAAATAATTAATCCGTACTTCAATTGTTTAACCAAACATCGGATTAATAATTTTATTGGACTATTAGTCCAATCCCAAGCTCATGTCCACCCAAACAAACATGGCCTCAGTGTGTTTGGTTTAAGTTTTCTGGATTAAGTTTTTTAAAAATTGACTTTTTTGGTTTTCGTGTTTTTTTGTTTTTGTTTTTAGTGAATATTTTTTAAATTTTAAACATTTTTTTTTACTTTTTAAAATGCACCTTACTTAGATGTATCTAAAAAGTAAAAAATTTGTGAAAAAATATTTTAAAAAATTAATAAATACATAAAAATACAAAAAATGTACTGAATTCTTGTATTTTTTTTTTTTATATTTTTGGTATTTAGTGAATTTTTAAAAGATTTTTTTTACAATTTTTTTTACTTTTAAGGTGTATTTATGTTAGATGTGTCTAAAAAGTAAAAAAATTGTTTAAAATAGGGCAAATTACATATACACCCCTCGAGGTTTGGCTAAATTACAGATGCCCCCCTGAGGTTTGAGAAATTACGAATTCCCCCCTGAATGCTATATTTGCATAAGAAATTAGGGGGTAATTTGTTATGAAATATAAACCTCAGGGGGCAAATTGTTATGAAAATACAAACCTCAGGGGGCGGGATGTAATTTCCGAAACCTCAGGGGGGTATCTGTAATTTAGCCAAACCTCGAGGGGTGTATATGTAATTTGCCCTTTAAAATATTAAAAAAATTCAGTAAAAACAAAAAAACACGAAAAATAAGAAAGTAGAATTTTCTTAAAAGTGTTTTTTAAAAAGTGAAAACAAGCAAGGTTGCTATTTTTTTTTCCTTCAAAATTTAGGAAATGATAAAAAATCAACATTCAATATCATCACCACAGAGGATGTTAAATTATTGGGTGTACCTGTACTTTGGAAGCACTTGAGCACTCATATCGCAGCCCATGAACAGTTAAGATGTAAAAGCAATATCGAGTTTCCCCATCTTCTCGTGTAAAGCATGGCAGAGGACCTACTTCAGTGATATCAGATAGTAGGGTGGAGTCCTGAGGACTCAAATCTGCAAAATATTTCTTTCAAGATCACTAGAAAGCAAGTTTTGTGCATTTCCTCTGAGTTCCAATGATAAAATATGCATGGAGGGATTGTTGGGTGCTCAATAATGAGTTTCATAAAATATGTACTTTGACCCATAGATGGACATGAGATGCATTGGGAGAAGAAACAAACAACTCTTACTGATCATATTACAACCTTAAGTGGTTTCATAAAAATTTAGCATATTTTTTTTTTTTGATAAATAAAAATTCAGCATATGGTTTTAGCACAAACAAACTGTGGCAAATTTGAAGCTAATAAGCTAACACTGCTTCAAAGGAAAATAACAAGCACGGCATATGCCAGATGTCGTGTATAAACAAAATTAACAGAAGTTAACACTAATTCAATATAATAATTATTAAAAATAAAAATAAAAAAAAAAGAAAAAGAAAAAAGAGAACACTATTAATTTAACTCTCATCATTTATGTTTTTTTATAGATGATCTATTAATTATTTAAATGTAAGCAAAAAGTAATAAACATCCAACATCCATCTAAAGTACAAAAGAAAATAAATTAATTAAATAAAGAGACATGCTAGCTGGCGTGTCCCGTATGTGTCCCTGCCGTGCCCGTATGTCCGACACTACTACAACACCTGTTTTGGAGTGTTAGTCCTTCATAGCATGCCGGATTTCATATATAATTGTAACAGAACATTTAAGCGGGTACCAAAGACACTTGGAAGTAAAAAATTCCAATAAGTTACCTGTTGGCAACAAATAAAAGAAGATACACGGTCCATGAAAGACAAGAAAGCGTGGAAGCCAGTCATCAACTTCAGTATCATCAATAGGAGGAGGTTCACCAGGTAATGCTGCCCATCTCTATCAAATAAAATATATAAAAGATTATCAATGGATGTTAGCAATGTGCACACACAGAGCATTTCAAAAACAAAATGAAAGTGAAGACGAAGATAGTACAGTTCGGATGTATAGATAGCCTGAAAGACGAGAAGATCTCAAAATTTCATCAACATGTTCCAACCTGTATGAAACAAAACGATCTCAATTTTGATAGTTGATAAAGGCAATTACAATAGAAACATATAATCCAGTCTCAAAAATAAATAAATACGAGAGAGAGTAGTACTGGAATCAAAATATAAGATCTATATGCATGCTTGTGCAGTGTATCTCTCATGGCCAATGCAGATGTGTAAGTTTTATCCAAAGGAGTGTTACCAGAAAATGATTATACCATGTTTTGGAAGTTTGGAACGTACATTCTGAGACAAAGTATACTTTTGTTTCAAAGTGATCGATTTAGTGATTTAAAGCGATCCAAATTTTTTTACTATATATTTCCTTTGAAGGATAAAAAAATCAAATATAATTAAATAAAATCTAAAGAAAATTTAGTTTTGACATGATAAAATGTCATAAAATTGTTATAATGTGCCTAGAAATGTGCTTTTATATCATTAGTTTGAAAAATAATGAACTATATTTTAACATATGTCTAATAGTTTAAAGAAACTCTTTAGAATTATCTTAAATTCTAACAGTGTGATATATACAATCCTACACATGGTGTACCCCGTTCCCGTTCCCGTTCCCGTTCCCGTTCCCACTCCTTGTACTAGGAAGAATTCGCATTCTGGGTAACATAGATCCAAATATCTAAGGCATACACATAAGCTACATGATTTTACCACTTTTTAAGTCAATTTTAAAATTCAAATACAAGTGACACTAACTCCGTCTTTTGTGTTGTGTTGAGAATTTATATCATAACAGGCAAACAATTTTGTCATTGAAAAAGTTAAAAATAAAAGGCCAGAAAAAATATTTAGAAAGAAAACCAAAACCAAGGATCAAATCTCCTTACTGAGCTTTCAAATGAGCTTCTCTTTCTTCTAAATCAGCAATTTCAGATCGAAGGGATTGTATTTCCACAGCTGTTAACACAACCTACAAGTCAAAATCACAGTGGTTATCATGAAATATAAAAGATAAGAACAACCAATACACAGGCATCTAATAGACAATTCAATCAACCTTTTCCTGACCATTGGTGCCAGATCCCCATGGTAGTCCCCGTAGACTAAACAAGTTTAACATGGACACAGCACTTCTTAATTTTCTTCGAGCCCACAAACGGCGATGCAACCTATGCTAATGCAGAATAAGGAAACTAAACCGAAATCAATTTGAAGTATATTGCCTTTTTTCCCTCTTACCACTTGCAAGAAAGAAATACCTCGAAGTGTTATCTGTTCTTGGATGTGCAATAGAGGAAATTTTCTTTTGAAGAGAGTCCACACCAGGCGTTGAAGCTTCAAAATGATCCCCAAAAACTTTTATTCCCCGAGGACCATCATCCATGAAGTTTACTCCCAATTTGAAAACCTATAATCAGAAATAGATAATCCACCTTCATATGTCCTAAAAAAGAACTCAGGTTTAGCATACATGAATTTATTCCTTCAGTCACAATGTCATCTGCCATCAGTTAGATACTTATAAGCTAGCAAGCCTATAGTTGCTGAGGGATAGAGAAGTATCTCTCTCAGGAATGGATAATTTACATTATCACCCTCCAAGTTAAGCCACAATTTCAATTTGGGCCCGCAAGATTTCAATTTTAACAATGTTCACTCAAAGTTGCACCCAAATTCAATGTCATCTGTTTGTCAATAAATGTAGTTGAATTAATAGAAATTAGGCATTTGACTGTCCAATAACCTACTTAAAAATATTATTGACCATTAATACCTTCATTTGAATGACAGTACACCATCCAAGTTTACCCAAATTTGAATTTGGCCCCTAAAATATTACCTCCAAGTTTCACTTTCTTTCTCTAAAAGGAATTCACCATCACTTATTCCATTAACAAAACCCATCATCATCATATCCCACATTCTCATTTTACAATAAACTTATCATCCTCCACTAAGCATCTCAATCAATGAAATTCATTATACCTATCGTATTTTTTCTTTCTCAAACAAAATTGACCTCCACATCTCTTATCCCAGAAAAACCGCCAATACTATTTACCTTAACTTATTTTTGTCTACAAAATGAAACCCAACATCCCATTTTCCATTAACAAAATTGATCATTTATCCCTTCTGCATGCCTATTTGTATATAATTTGAAGGCAATGACTGATCAAGATTAATATTGAAATTTTACTAAAAATTCAAAGGTAAGACAGTTGCAATTGAAATTTCAAGGACCAAAAATGAAATTTGGATGAAACTCAAATGGTGGAGAGTGCTAGCCAAAAGTAAGTAGAAAATGATCAATAAACTAATTATTTGATCATATGATAACCACATGCCCAGTTTTAGTCTAACCTAATGACAAGTACTGACAGAGGGATAATATTAGAATTCAAGCATATTTCTAGGAAATGGGGACCAAAGTGACATTTTGGTCTTATTTGGAGGGTAATTAATGAAATTTACCCCTTTTGAAGTTAAGCCTGCTTTAGTGGAATATAGATCATTTTAATTTGCATAAATAAGCTTCACCCCAACTCTAGGGACTAATAAAATGAAGCTAATTATGTTCTACAATTTGGAGCGCAGTGTGACAGAACTAGTAGTTTTGTAGTGACTATGTGGAATAATAACTTCCTTAATGGTGTGTATTCTCAAGAGTTATGATATTCCATAAATGTGCCTTCCTTCCCCAAACCCCGCTTTAGCTGGAGTCTCTTGTACAGGATCGCCTTTTTTTCTTTTTTTAGATGTGCCTTAATGTTGAAATTTCATATTAAAAAAAAGTTCATATGGTAAAGGAATAGAGGGAACTAATAGGTGATGTCCTTAGTTCTCTATGAGTAAAAAGCATGGCAATCAGATGAAACTTACAGCATGACAAGAAGATCGAGTTAATTCATTGCTTATAATAACAAACAAAACATGGAAGTTCTAATTGCAGTTTCCTTAGACACTCCAAACTTACCTAAGAGAGAAGTTCTAATTTTTGCATCCTAACATGCATTGCAAATGTATCCCAAATCACCATTCATTATACCCGATCATGTTCCTCAATCACCTAACATAAATAATCAATACTCCACCTTCTGCACCAATCATACAACCATGGAGCACCACGTGGCCGTACTCCCGGACTACCGACATGTTTATTTTCAATTGCAATATCTTGGACAGATTCAAGTTGAACTCAAACAAAAAATCTCATCCAAGGCCAAACTATTTGGGATCAACCATGCATTGCAAATACCATGTTGACAATCTTCTCCATCTAAAACCTGATCTGCAAACCTTGAGGTTGTGGGTTCAAAACTTGAGGGGAGCCACTTTGTGCAAATATTGCCAAAAAAAATTATGTATGTACCCAATCTAAACACTCGCAGACCTCCATCCAATGCGGACTAAACTGGATGTAATATTTTTTGGCAAATGCTAACTAGTGCCCTTACATTGTTTAATATTTGAATTGGAGTAAAAAATGTCTTTAAAATAGATGAAAATGTTAAAAAGTACATTGAATTTAGTGAAAGTGCATCATGTTTTCCCCCCTTTTTTTTTTGTCTTTTTTGTCTTTTTCTTGTGCCATAGGCCACTTGTTAGCAAGACCCATATTTTTTTTGTTCTGCAACAGATTACTTTTACATATCATCATTCATTAGAAAGTATTTTATTAAATTGAATTAAGCTAAGAGTCATCATCAACAAGATGATCAAAGCAGTGTGACAAAATTTAACCCAAAGCTATTGCTTCCCATGTTTAAGAGTTAAACTAACCAACTACAGATGGGAAAGGTTAGAAGAATTAAAAGTTCAATTTATGAAAATTTCCTCAAATTGACAGAACAACCCCATGATTCTCCCTTACAAGCTGAGAAAGAAGAAGAACAATTCAGAGCCTCACTAAAAAAGAGGGAAAAAAGGAACAAATGCTTGGTTGATTTGTTGAAAGGCACAAAGCCCAAAAATTTATCTTCTATTAAACTCAAATCAGTTGATATTCAAAAACCCAATTCTACATGAAGTTTTAACACCACAAATTTAACAAAAATCAATAGTATATAACTATATATATATGACTTAGATGTAAAGTAGATTATAATCGGATAAATAAAAAGATAGGTGGAGAGAGAAAAGGGTTTGCACCTTTATGGAACTTTGATAGAGAGATGGAGGACGAGGAGGAAGAAGAGAAGCTCTAATGAAACTTCGTTTGACCCACTGGGAAGCATGATATGTGACTGGTTGGTTGGTATGTCTGATGAGTTGTTTTATTCGTTGTGGTTTGTGTGATATGACCGATTTAACCCCTGGGACACGTTAGGCAATTGGTAACTTTGACATTGCAACTCAGATCTCGTTTCACAATTTAATATTTTAATTTAAAAATTAAAAATTTATTAAAAATATTAAAAAGTGAATAATTGATGTCAAAAAATTAAAAATTTTCTTTTCTTTGTGCTTTTTATATATCCTTTCAAAATTATTTTAATTATATTAATTTTTTTATCTCTTATTTTAATTAAAATTTTAAAAAATATTAAAATAATCAATTTACAAACTAATCTCAACGCACGAATTTATCTTATCTGTTAAAAGTTTTACAATGGTGGTCTGTCCACTTAAGGGCAGAGGACCACTTAAAAAATTAAATGGTCAACTAAAATAATATATTTCTAAACAGATTTGGTGATCATTTATGAATTTCTAATTCTTTAGAAATGAAGTTAATTTTTAGTTTTTTTTTTTTTTTTTTTTTAACCCCTTTAAAATGAACACTTGGTAAATTTACGTTTTTTTTTTTGTGATAATATTAAGTGCAAAAAAATAGAATATAAAACATATAAAGAAAATGTCTTGGATAGTTAAAATTCATTTAGAGAATGATGTGAGTTGGGTTGGTTTGGCATAAACTAAATAATACAAAAAATCAAAAAGTCACTATCCTATTTAAGTCATATCATCTTATTTAAATCACGTCACCTCTCTAACACATCACATCAAACCCAACCCAAACCTAACCCATATAACTCAATAAGTAAAAAAGTATACTTTTTTAGAACATCCCAAACTAAGGGCTCTTTTGGGAACACAGAAAAACGGAAGGTTTGCGTTTTGTTAGCAAAACGCAGCTGGCGTTTTTGTTGTCATTTGGGAAGTGTAAAAAGTAAGTTGTAAAATTACATATCTACCCTCAACATTTATATTTTGTAAGTTTAGGTGAAATGTAAATTTTTTAAGTTGAGTGAGGGTATTTTAGTCCAATCACTTCCAAAAAATTTGGTTAAAAGTAACTTTTTACCAACTTCCCAAATCACTCCCAAAAGTTTGGTTAAAAGCCAAAAAGTCACTTTTTACCATCTTCCCAAAACAACCCTAAATAAATTTCATCCAACACTTTTATGTAGGGGTGTTCGCGGATCGGTTTTGTGCGGTTTGCGGTTCGGTTTTGACCCGCCCGCATCTATGCGGTTTGGGAAAAAGTCAACCCGCAACCGCCCGCAGTGCGGTTTGCGGTTTGTGCGGATAGGGTTTGCAAATGTGCGGGCGGTTGCGAGCGGTTTGCGGTTTACACTTTTTTCTTTAAAAATTAATTTTCGAATTTTTTTTTTCACAGCGAATTTAGGCATTAGATTCATTTTATATATTTGTGATAACAATTTTTTGATGAGTTTACAAATAAAAATTGAATATCAATGCATTAAATGAAAGTACCCAAAACAAAGAGACCCTACACTAGCATTTTTACCATGAAAAAAATGTATATCAATGCATTAAAGGTTGTACTCAATTAGAATTGCCAATTCATTTAAACAAATTGAAAATATGAAGTCATACAAATTACTAATCGTGCTCGCGGTTTGGCGATTCGGTTACGGCCAAATGAACCTCAAATCCGCTATCCGTTCAAAATTAGACAGATTGAAAAAAAAATTAATCCGTAATTGCCTGTTCGTCATTACGTATTCATTTAAAATGTGACAAATCAATTTGATTCGATAGATTTAAACATATCAAAATATCCGCGATTCACCCGTGCATAATACAATGCACGGTGGTTTGGCACAAAGGTCAAATGTTGCTTTTGTAAGCACAGTTGATTAAGGTGAACATTTATAACCAATACTATTATATTAAAAAAAAATTGGTTACAATTTTGAGATATTGACCCTTCTATCCATTCCCCCCGAGTATGGCCAAGCTTCGGTTGCAACTTACAAAGGCGACGTGTATAGTTTTGGAGTTGTCCTTTTGGAGCTTCTCACCGGAAAGAGGCCAATGGATATTTGCAAGCCTAAAGGAAGCCGGAATTTGATTTGTTGAGTACTTCATGCCTACCAAAAATCATATTAATCAGATATCAATAACTATATGATCGAATTGCATATTTTTATACTATTTTTCAAAAGAAAAACTTCTTGTTTATTTTTTTGATTATCAATCATATAGTTATTGGTATCCGATTAATATGATTTTTGGTAGGCATGAAGTACTGAACAAACCTTACAACATGAACGGTTCAGATTATAAAAATAAATCCATAATGCACCACAAAATGAGGCACAATAGTGGCACAGCAGTGACCCAAACCGATAATTATACTATATGGCCCAAAAATAAGGAATGTTGAATTATTGGGGCTTATAGTTTGAAATTTGTATTATTTTAATTTTTAATTTTTTAATTATAATATATTTAACTTTAAATTTGGAATTTAGTTTTAAATAAAGATAATTGAAGATACCGTTACTCTATTTTAATAGTAAAGTTGTCAATTTGATAAAATATAAATTAGTTTGATAAAAATAAATGTCAAAAAATTATTTGTGAATTTTTAAAAATTATTTCTACTCACCAAAGATAAAATTATATAAAAATGATAAATCTTTTACATTTTTATTTTTTTATTTTTTTACCAAATTAATTTTTAATATGTGTTTGAATGATGATGGTAGTTGTTTTTGTTGATGGTCTTGGATGGTTATTATGTAATAGATGGTTGTATTGTTATTAATAGATATTTTTGATGATTATTAGACGATTATTAGCCTTTTAATATGTAATCGATATGTTCTATATATGAAATGTTTGTAATTTTAATTTTTTTTTTAATTTAACTAGTTGGAAGGTCCATGTACGTTGCACGTTGCATGTCACATATGAATTGATTTATAAACGAAACATGAGTCCTTATTTGGATTGTTTTCTCAAATAATCTTGCATTAATGTATTCATGTGAGCTTCCATTTTATATAGTGATTTTATGCTTAATTTACAATGCTGTAATTATAGTTGATTTTGCTGGTACAATTACTCTAAGGTGAAAATAAGTTAAAATACAGGTTTCTTTGGGATGGGCTGCCCATCCCAAGTTAAAATAGTCAATAAAACAAAATATTTCATCACATCACTTTCTCTGTTTTTTTACACATTTTTTCGTAAAAAATTAAATAGTCAACTAAAATAACATATTTCTAAACGGATTTGGTGATCATTTATGAATCTCTAATTCTTTAGAAATGAAGTTAATTTTTAGTTTGTTTTTTTTTTTTGTGATAATATTAAGTGCAAAAAAATAGAATATAAAACATATAAAGAAAATGTCTTGGATAGTTAAAATTCATTTTGAGAACATCCCAAACTAAATAAAAAAGTGCACTTTTTTAGAACATCCCAAACTAAATAAATTTCATCCAACACTTTTATGTGTTTTATTTTTTGAGTCTAACACTATATTAAACATCATTATTCCTTCCTTTTTACATAATCCAACTATTGTGAAAATTTTATTGAATACAAAATAATACAAAAATTTAATACATTTTAATATTTTGTTATATTCAATGATTTTTTAAGTGTTTTTATACAAATTATATATTTTTTAAGTGTATATATTAAGTCAATCTAAAATTCAAAATTCAAAATATACAAAGTTTTAGTTCGAAGCTGGATTGCCTTTGGGCCAAAATGAGTAAAGAATTACTAAGTAATCACAGAAACAGAGAACAACCGAGAAGAGAGGGTTTAGCCAGCCCAATTTGCAGCTTAGAAGTATATAAACTTTAGGGTTAGGGTCTTTAAGGATGAGCTTTATCCTTAGGTTATAGTCTCAAAAGCTTCTATTGGCACACACCATTTCCCTTCTTCCCACACATTTAATGATATTTTTTTAATTACATTTTTGTCCTAAAATAAAATTACCAAAATATTCAGTTCTTCTTCAACAAAAACCCTAACCCTAATCAACCCCTTTGTCGCCTCTCCCACCAGCCCCCTCTTCTCGAATCAAAGCCTCTCCTCACTCCATCGTTCGTCGCTTACACTCCCCAGTCCCTCTTTTCTCCCGTCGAAGCCCCCTCCCTGTCATCTGCAACTCTCTTTCTCTCTGCGGCCGCCTTCGAACCAAACACATTGATTCAGAAGTACAGTGTCGAACCAATGTGTTTTGTTCGGATGTTGAAGGTCGAACTAATGTGTTTTGTTCGGATGTTGATGGTCGAATTGATGTGTGATTTTCGACCCTGGTTTATCGAATGGCGAGTGCGTCGCGATGGTGGGTAGCCACTGCGATGATGGTAGTAACAGGGACGAGGGGTGGTCGGCAGAGGGGTTGGACGGGTGTGTAGGCTACAACGGTGGGTGGAGGAAGCGGCGACTGCGAGGGCAGCCATGGTGTCGTCGACGGTAACTGGTTTAGGGTTAGGGTTTGGAGAATGAAAAAGGTAAGGGAAGGTGGGTGGATTGAGTGTGTTAGAAAGTTGTGTGTGTATGGGTATAATTGAAATAATAGTGTGTGTGATGAGTAAATATACATATTTTTTTATTTTTTTATTTTTCTTTTGGTTTGTGAATTAAGAAGGATGTGTATAGAGAGGATGTTGTGTGTGCAAATAGAAGCGTCCTATAGTCTCCTAGTGGGTTGAATTAACAAAATAAATCAGAAACCTACTAAGACTCTATTAGAAATATATAAAAATCTCATGATTCATATGATAAAGGGTAATGCAATTCTAAATACACAACTCTAAAGCTTTTCTGTGTTATTGATTTTAAACTAATTTAAGTATCAGAAGAGTTTTCCGACATACACTTATTAATAATCTCACATGTTCTTTG